GGCAGCAGATCACTGCTACAGCAGACACCGAGGCAGCAGATCATTGTGACAGGAGACACTGAGGCACCAGATCACTGCTACAGCAGACACTGAGGCACCAGATCACTGAGGCAGCAGATCACTGTGACAGCAGATCACTGCTACAGCAGACACTGAGGCACCAGATCACTGCTATAGCAGACACTGAGGCACCAGATCACTGAGGCAGCAGATCACTGAGGCAGCAGATCACTGCGACAGGAGACACTGAGGCAGCAGATCACTGCTACAGCAGATCACTGAGGCACCAGATCACCGTGAGAGCAGATCACTGAGGCAGCAGATCACTGCGAGAGCAGTGCTGGGAGAGCCTGACCCTCAATGACGCGCCGCATGTCAGCCACGTAAGCCGGGAAGGTGTACAGGACTCCAGCGGGCCGGTGCGTGGAGAGGCCATGACCCGGGAAATCGATCGCCACACAGCGGCAGTCTGGGAGAGGGAGAGGGAGAGGGAGATTCACTTGCAGGCTGTAGAAGAATCAAGGCTGGTCAGATGTGTTCTGATTCACACTGGAGTAAGTGCACCACAATACAATACACATTTCAATGCACTGCCACACAGCCTGGTCCAGTTTAATAAAGCCCATACCAGTCCAGTCCTATACAATCCAGTCCAGATCAATACAGGCCTGTCCAGTTGAGTCCAGTCCCATAAAATTCAGTTTAACACACTGAACATGAATGGCTGTCCAGTCAAACACAGCCCTCTTGAGCCCAGCCCGATAAAACCACCCTGTCCTACCCAAGTCCAGCCTGGTCCAGGTATTAGCATGTCCCTTTCACTGACCTGCGGGCAGCAGGGGTATCAGCCTGTCGAAGGACCCAGCGTTGTCTGACCACCCATGCAGGCACAGCACTGGACGCCCGTCGCGAGGACCCCAGTCCTTGGCCGCGATGTGGCCCCAGGGGACAGGAAACTGCACCTCTCTGCAGGGCACTGTGGGTAGAGATTCAGGACAGACGTGGGCGGGGGATCTGCCCGCAGGCGGCACGACGGAGGGCTGGGACTGCCCGCGGCCCCTCACCTGCGTGCTTCATGCTGGACACGGAGGTGGACAGTCGCCTCACAGCCTGCAGCATTCCCCCCACCAGCTGAGGGTTCGAGAGGCACACAGAGAGCAGGACACAGGCGTCCATCAGTGTGTTCATCAGGGTAAACTAACGACCAGCCCCTGACCAACACCCTGCCAGACTGACCAACACTCAGAGTGACCACCTGCCTGACCAACACCCTGCCAGA